CCCTGAGTCCCCTCAGGGAAAAGGGCGGCCTATAAGCTTTAATAAAATGAAAAATGAAAATGAAATTGTGTACATTAATTATTGGAAAGAATTAGTAAATCATTGACTCTAAAATATTAAATACATCAAGGAACACCAGGAACAACCCATAGATTAAAAAAAAGAAATTTGTTTGTACTAGTCAGATAGGAAAATCCCCAAGGAAGCAAAGGATTGATGGTATTGTGGAACAATTTTTAAAATTTTTTAAAGATAACAAGTACGTCTACAATCACCAAAACTGTAAAGAAAACTGCACTAATGATAGCCTCCCCATCAGGACAAAAAACAATAGTTGATATGTTGTGTAGTAAAAAAATCAGGATCTACATCAAGCCTACAAACCATGCAAGTGACGCTAAAAATGATACAAGGAGTTATGATGAAGACACAGGAATTGATAACTAACAATCATGAGGAAATGAAAGGCGATCTGGGTGAAGTGAAAGGAGATATAAGGAAATTGGATAAGAGAATGGAGAAAATTCAGGAAATGATATCTAAAAATGAATAGAAAATTAAAAAATACAAATAAGATTAGCAAAGTGGGCCATCAGAGATGAAGTCTATAAAAAAATGAGAAATGACCAATTAATATAGAAAGGAAAAGGTTATAATACTCAAACAGATACCAAGAAGGATCAAAGAAGAAACTACCACTTCCTCACTTCGCAATTGATAAAGTATAAAATAATGTATCGTTGGCTGATTCCTGAAGATGTATTAATATCCTGGCAAAATAAGAAAATAAGAGTGGACACTTTAGAGAAAGCTCAAGAATTTTAAGAAAAGTACATAGTAGCAGAGGAAGAACCGGACAGTAGAGAGGAGTTGAAAACTAAAAGTCAAGAGGAACAACAGATGGAGGAAAGAGAAACAGACCAAGAAAGAAGAGAGAGGATTGATACAGAAGATCAAGGAAGAGAAGAAACAAGGACAAGGAACCAAAGAGGTGTAAAACCAAAGAAAGGAAAAGGATGACAAGCAAACAATAAAATGGAAGAAGATATTAAACTAATTTTCAGGCCTGCAGCCAGTTCATTTTGGGATCTTTGACCTGCCACACTAATATTCTATTCTACTATGCTATTTCATTAGTGGGGAATTGGGAGGGGGAATAGGAAGGAGTAGAATGTGATGTTGTCAAAATAAAATTTCTTTCGGACTTCCGGGGCGGGACTTTGCCGTTGGCAGTGGCTTAATTGAGCTGCTCCCAGAATTCTGGCTTGTTATCTACTTAAACACCCAGCAGATATCTCAATCTTCAGGCAAGAAGATTGCAGAGAGAGGCCCAGCTGGTAAGAACTCTCTTTGAAGTTTGCAGCTTTTTTTTGCTGTGAACGGAAGGGGGGAGAACCAAAGCTGAGTCATACCTCCGGCCAGAAACCTCGGCTGTCTTCACAGCACAAGGCAAAGAAACCCCTCTTAGGACAATTTCTGAAACTATTTNAATTAAGGAGAAACTTCATAACAGTGAGGACAATCAACCACTAGAACAGCTTGTCTCCCAGAATTGTGGGTGCTCCATCACTGGAGGTTTTTAAGAAAATATTAGACAGCCATTTTTCTGGAATAGTATAGGCACTCTTGTTTGAGCAGAAGGGTGGAATAGATGACCTCCAAGGTCCCATCCAACTCTGTTGTTTTGTGTTCTGTCATTATCCAAACGTTCTCTGAGCCAAAAAGTGGTGGCAAAGTGGTGTATCTTGAGGAGAAATTCTGCAAAATGTCTCTTCTGAAATGCTTCTTTGTGTTCTAGGAACTCTATGCCCAGCTGAAGGTAAATGAGGAAATCTACAGCCAGCTCCTGGCGAAGGGAAGGCTGATGCTTCTGAGCCATGATGATTCTGGATCTGGATCAAAGATGGAGCAAAGTGTGGCACTCTTGGAACAGAAATGGGTCCTGGTCAGCACAAAGATGGAAGAGCGGAAGGTAGTGAGCAGAGCTGATAGGGGACCTGGTTATACCACATTCCTCCTTTCCCCACTCAGGTGGTTCTGAGTCAGACACACTGGGAGAAGAGGTTGACCTTTCTCTGGCAGCAGATCAGCTCTTTGACTGACAGCCCTATTTCCAGCTTTATACAAGTAAACAGGATTCTGTGCATGACAGAGTCATAGAGTCCACAGAGGAACTGTTGAACTTGAGTGGAACAAAAAGGTCAGGAAATGGGGCCGGGAGGGAGAAGCAGGAATCTGAGATTGCGGAAGGAGACATCATCAATATGAGGGAGGGAAGGTATATAATTGTAAAACTCTTTAAAACTTTTAATAAAATAAAATAAAAATATGAGTTCCGCCTTGGGAAGCAGTGAGACTTTTCCTGGGATTGTGAAAGTTGGTGAGGTTGAGAATCCTTTGGAAAGTTCAGCCTTGCAGTTCCCTTGTCCCTGCACAGAAGCCTGGCTGTCCCTGGGCCAGAGATCAAGTGGTGGGGGACTGAAGACAGGCAGCAGGATTGAGTCTGGTCCAGTGGGGTATAAAGGTGGAATGCAGTGACTTCTCCAAGCTCGTAAATGACCTCTCGTCTTTCAGGAGGTTTTCTGCCATAGAAAAGTTTCTGTTAGCTATCTTGATTCTCTCCAGCATTCTTCAGGGTGGGGGGTGGGGGGGAAGGGCACTGAGAACATGAATGAAATTTTGGTTTCTCTCTTGGAGCAGGTGCATGCAAAATCCATGCTCTTGGCGTGGAAGGTCAGCCCCTGTGAGATTTGTCAGGTACTCCTTTTCTTCTGTCTCACTCCTCTACCTTGTCCCCTGTTTAGTCCAAGCTGGAAGAGGCCCTCAACCTGGCAACCGAATTCCAGAATTCCCTGCAGGACTTCATCAACTGGCTGACCCTTGGGGAGCAGAGTCTGAACGTTGCTTCTCCTCCCAGCCTCATCCTTAACACTGTGCTCTCCCAAGTAGAAGAACACAAGGTAAGGGCATCCCCAAACCACTCCCTGTAACAATGGCCCCCTCCACACCTTCATCTTGGCAAAAGGCTGGCAGGTACCAAGAGGGTCTCAGGGTGGGATTTCAGCCTTGCCTGCAGTTCAGCCAACGGAAGGCGGTTTGACCGCTCCCTGTAATGCCAAGATTCCAAAGAGATGTTCATGCAGGGGTTTCTCTTCTGCTTCCTCCCACCCACCCCTGGCAGGGTTTTGCTAATGAAGTCAATGCTCACCGGCATCAGATCATTGCTCTGGACCAAAGTGGAAACCAGCTGAAGTTTCTGAGCCAGAAGCAGGATGTGGTCCTGATCAAGAACCTCCTGGTCAGCGTGCAGTCTCGCTGGGAGAAAGTTGTCCAGCGGTCAGTTGAAAGGGGGCGGGCTCTAGATGATGCCAGGAAGCGGGCAAAACAGGTGAGTGTCCTGGAGGGTAGGGCGCTTTGGGAGCTGCTCATTGAGAGCCAACTGTGAGCTTACAAAAAAAGCTTAGATACTTGCAAAGCAGCAGCATTGTCTCAGATGCTGCATTTGCTGCCATAACACAGCAGGACTACTGTTCAAATGCATTAAAATCTGTGGGCTGAGTGGCGAGGGAGGGCGAAGGGAGGGGATTCTGCTGGCCATGGGGGGGGGCAACAATGGGAGGAGAGAGAGGGGGGCTTGGCTTGTTTGCTCATAAGGAAAGGGAGGTTGGGGCAAGATGGCAAATGCTCTGGAGCAAGAGAAGCCTTGGGAAGGTGTGAGCGTGTGCAGGGCAATGGGAGGACCCAACATGGACAGGGAAAACAAGCTTGGGAAGGAAGATGGAGAGGAGCCAAGTGAAGAATTAGAAGGTTGATAGCCACATAGAAAGGGCTGGAAGAGTGAGGAAGCCAGGAGTTTCAGCCTGATAAAGAATTGGCAGGGGAGCCAAGCAGAGGCCTCTAGAGATGAGCAATGGGGGTCTCTCCAGGAGATGCAATGGGCTGGGAGAAGAACTTTGGGGGAAGGAGGAAGAGCCACAGCCCAGACGGCACCCTGATAAGACACACTGGAGTCCAAAAGAGGGAGGGGTGAGAAAGTATCTCAGAAGGGACCCCTCTCTAGTTCTCTGGAATGTAAAGATGGGGGAGGAGAAAATGCTTTCAGAGTTGCAAGATTTCTGTTACTGTAATCTCACAATGGAGGTGGGCTTAATGCTTGTGGTTTGGGTCTCCTGACCTGAAGGCATCTTGGGAAAGAGAGTTCCAATTGCACGCAGTGGGACTCTTCCTATGACTACCGGATTCAGAGTCGGTGCCTGGACTGTAAACTTTGCTAGATATTTCCCTGATGATCTATCAGAGGGAAATGATATCCTGAAAGTTGACACAGGTTTTGCTGGGAAAAACAAGGGACCGGATATATATATACATACATATATACATATACATATATACATATATACATATATACATATATACATA